GGTGCCTGAATAGGCGGAATGTAGACGGATTGTTTTCTTTGCCTGTATTTTGTAGACATAAGGTTATGTAGTTTGGAATTTTTCCAATCATAACCAAATATTTATGTGCTGCTTCTTGATTAGTTTGTTTCTAATTTGTATTAATTAAACTAAAGGTTACAATAATAGTTATATTATTAGTAAAAGTTAACGTGTGATAACAGACTATTTGCAATGCAACAGAGTTATCACCACATTCCTCTGAAGTTATATATACGACCCCGATTTCTATGCAGATATCCACGATGATCTTGATAATAGTTACTTTTAATGTGCTCAGGTTTTCTACAACCACAACAGGTTGTTTAGCTATGACCTCAAATGTTTTAAGAACGTTCGATTTTTCTATTTTGGAAACGTTCTAAATTATAACCTAATATTTATGTTCTGTCTCCTGATTAGTTTGTTACTAATTTATATTACTATCAAACGATTGAAAAGGAACATAAAAAGATCACTAATGACAGCCGTCTTATTAGGCTTACCGATATGTAGTAGTATGGCCAAAGCATTCCATAGCCAGCCACTTCGATTACTCAGAGAATTCTTACAAGAATCTGAAATAAATTACAAGAAGTATTATTTATCCTATTAAGAGTTAAAATTTAAATGTTCATAATAATCTAATAAAAACATTTGTATAGATGAAATCTCAGTTATAATTATCGACACTGTAAATACAGACCCCGATTTATATACAGATGTCCACAATTATCTTGGTAACCGTTACTTTTAATGCGTCATGATTTACTGCAACCAAAGCAGGTTATTTAGCTATGACCTTAAATGCTTTAAGATTTTTCTATTACTTCTTCACAGGTGTTATTTGGATCTCTTTCCAAATAATTCATTTTTATGTTGGTGTGCTAATGTGTATTTATTAATTAATAGAAATAGCTAAAATGAAATATAAACATTGTTTGCGGCCGCCATAATCTCTGAATAGCCTTAATGCGCCCTCTAATGATAAGAAGATTCTCAGCCTATGACCTAAATGTTCCATATCAATTTTATCAAATCCCATTTAATTCTAGCGTTTCCGGATGCATAAATGTATTTTCACTGCACTGTGTATAAAAAACGGCTCGATTAAGGTTTGAGTTAGAGAGAAGTTATGGATTAATGCAAAAATATTTTCCAGTATAGTGTTCTAAAAATTCCATTCTCTTTTTTAACTCACGGCTAACATGAGAGAAAAAAAGAACGTTTCTGATTTTGTGAAAAAGTAATTATATAATCGTTTTCAATTACGTCACTATTAATCATTTCTCAAAAGTGTTTTTTGTCAGTAGGTCATATCTTCGTCAATTCTTCATTCGGAGAGTTGCTAACATTAGGCGGTAGTCACTTCCAATATCTGTTCCCCTCTTGTTCGATGTGCCCAATAGCGATCATCGAAATTTTTTGCTGATGGCTAAGTGATCGATTTGGTTCTCGTTGTGTTGTGTGGGTCTACCCACGAGACTTAGGGAATATTGTACTGCTAATAACGAGATCATGTTGAGCACACAAGCTTTTGAACATCTCTCTTTTCATTGCCTTGTCCCATGCCTTTCTTGGATCCTCCTGTAGTTACTGGATCTTTCAGTGATTCTTGAATCCTCCCAGTTGGCAATAACCACTCTTAGCTAGACACATTTCATGTAGACATTTATTTGTTCTACCATGGTTCATTCTGAACCTGGTCAGCTTCACTAAGGTAGAGCGTTCAAGGTGAATTTAAGTGCCACAAACCACGGAGTCAAGGGTATCTTCGGATGAGCTGCGTGGTACATTCCCTTCGAGGCACATTCTCAGTCGTAAAAATGCTACTATTCCTTAATTTTCTTTCCCCTCCGCACCTTTCCCCTCATCCCACTTCATCAAGTCCGATAATATAACTTTGGTACTGACTTTGATTAGCAGTTTTGTCTGCCATCTCATTTCCCGATAAACCTACATGTCTCGGCACCCTTTGAAAACAGTAATAATTGTTGGCTTTGGGTAATAAAAGGGATGAAATTTTAAAAGTATGTGTGTTTGTACTTTATTTTGATGTATAAGTTCTAGGTGTTTATATGCAGCAGCTGAGTCCGTCTGAATAACTATTTTGTGGTTTGTGTAGATATTATGGCGATAGTTCAAGACGTTAAAGATGGCGTATAGTTCGGCGCAGAAGATGATGAATTTTACTAGAACTGATAAGAGAAATTTCTGATTTTTTGGGGGGTTGGAATAAAACTAGAGAGGTTCGATTATTTGTTTTCGGTGCATCAGAGTAGAAAACATCGATGAGTAGAAACTTTTCTTCTGTACTTTGCCAGCTAGATTGGAAAGATTAAAGATTTGGAAATGGGAATTGTGTAATCTAAAGGAGCTTCAGATATGTGTAGCGATTTCAGAAGAGGCTGTAATTCCTTAGCAATGATGGATAGTTTGGGACAGAACACGTTTCCACTTATAATTACTTGGCTACTGGATGATTATTGTCGGAATCAACTTTGAATATATTTTTAAGTTAACCATGTCCTTCTAATGTGTAATGGCATATCACCGGCAGATGCCTTCAGTGTGATTACTGGAGACGTTTTAAAGGTAGCCTAACATAACTTATTAATGAGGGAGTTTTCCTGTCATCTTATTTCGCTGATTCCTAGTATGTCGAGTTTATAATTAATTGTTCATTTCTCTCTCTACTTGTCTTAGCTTTTCTTTCTAGTACAATGTATGAACATTCCAGAGTCCGATTTGTGTTTTCCATTTCATACTAAAGATTTTCGCCGTAGAATACATCCAGTATTTACTCGTTTCAGATTCTTTAATAAATTATGGTTTAAGAGGTGCGAGTCAATTCTTTTTTTTTTTTTTTTTTTGTTTTTTTGTTCTTCCCTACCTCGCCTTTTAGGCTATACGGGATTTTCCCGGGCCGGGGGGTGAGGGCGGGGAATTTAAAATCCCCTCCGGCACCGGGACGCGAACTCGTATTTTTTATATCATCTCAAATCTCTGTTATCCGGTTGCCAGGCAACTAGTGGTGCTGTTACACAAGCTTTAGCCTATTCGGCCACCCCTCCCTCAAGAGGTGCGAGTCAATAGCCCACAGCCTCCGAATTAGGTGGAGCCTCTTCAGCCTCTTCAGAGTTCCCTGACTTGCTCCCTCTTCCGGGGCGTGGCTCCTAAGGAAGGTACCAGGTACCTTGTATATAAGGTCATAACAGTACATACCTAGGGTATGTACTGTTATGACCTTAGTGTCAGTATGACCGTATTGTGTACTGTAATGGTGCAATGTGAGTGCAGTGTACTGAACTTAAGAGAACGGAGGAGTGTTAATCCCCTCTAGCTGCACACATCAGTTAGCCCATGCGGTTCACTTATAAATGTTATCCCCACATATCCCCATCCCCATATATATTATTACAGTAAGGCTCGAAATCGGTTTTGTACCAAATATAAGCTCCTCTCATGCTCAAATACCATGAATGGGGTACCGTTGGATTCAGAATTTCACGGGGGGTTAGCGAATCGTATTCTCCACTTTTGTTTTTCTTTCTAAAATAAACAAGTCGATACAAATATTTTGCTAGGCTTTAATACTGGAACGGTAGTAGGTCTGTAGATCGATACGGGACAAATTGGATCTTGAAGATTTTGATGCGTACAGCAAGCCCGGGATAGTTCCTGCCGAACTATCGGATCCTGCGCTTTTAAGCCCAAAAACGTACTATTTTCGAGATAACGCAAGGCATAGGGTTCGCATCCACACAACCGACTTGAGGTCTCTATGATCGAGAGAGGAGGAGTTTATATTATTTATCGATGGTGTTTTTGATCGGCGAGCCATATCATCGTTAATTTTTCACCGAATCTGAAGATGGAGCCACTAATTTCGAAGGCTTCATTCTCCTTCAGGCGGACAAAATAGTCCAATAACTCCGAAAATCTAGGAAAAAAAGTTATGAAAGAAAACAAACTTTATTTGCGAATAACTAAAAAATTACACACTTTTCCCTCGGTTATGTCCATGATTATAGAAAAGATTACTAAATTCCCTACAAAAGGAAAAAAAAAAATCATCGAAATAGATTAGAAATTTTTCCAATATTTTTTTATTTATTTTTTCTTATTTTCGATTAATAATCATTAGGAAAGTTCTATTATAGCCCATTTCATTTGAAAATAACTATATATTTGGCATATAGCTATATTATCAATACGACGTTGAAACAATTTGTACTGACCGAAGGAGGAAAGTCGGTTCAAATATTTTTTTTAAGAGAAAACAGAGTTGAGATTTGTATTTCGCACCTCTATAAAGTCTCAAATATTTTCATAGAAATAAAAAAAAAAATTTTTTGCACCGAATCGGAACAAAGCCTCCCCCTTCGATCTTCTTTCCAAAATCACAAAAAGTGGGGTAACATAAAAATGACTCCACATATCCTCAAAAAAATTTACATTAAATTAGGATTACATAAGCTACACGAAATGACACAAACCTACAAAAGGAAAACAAAATCATCGAAATCGGACAATTTTCAGCAAAGATAAAGCTTACTGAAATTTGTAAACATGTTGGTTCCAAACAAAAATGAAGATTTAAATTAATTTTTGTTTTCGTTGTCGATTATATTTATCAATAAAGTAACATTTGATTTCTTTATCTTTTGATACGTTGCATTATTTTATTTTCTTATTAATTTGGCATTTGATAACAATATGCTGAGCGAATTTTTCACACGGGCCAATTAATTATTATAATTATTTGATTACGTAATTATTTTAAGTAGCAATATCAGAGCTCAGGTAACCAATTTGAAAACACTTATAAGCGATTTCTTAATACAATGCACGTCTATTGATAACAATGGCAATCGAGGGTCTCTCTAATTGGTATCTGAGATACGTTAATGTCATGAACTCATAAACATCTAATCAATTGCATTGGCATTGGTCCATGACCCAATTACGTATAGTAGTGTGCCTACATGTAACTAGGACATGCATTACTGGGTCAACTGTTGACGTCTGTACACTAATAGTGCGGGTGGCGTTTCTTTACAAAAGTAAATTTGTATTTATTTATTTGTATAACTATATTTTTAATTATTAGGTATTATTATTTATTATATTCATGTATGTATATACACATAATCCTAAAAGCGCTGTAGTTCAATTTTTTTGGGTATATGAGTTACATCCACGTATTTTTTTTTTTTGCATCAGGTTGTGCACAATTGGGCCCATCTAGACAGCCGAAATTAACCGATTATAATTTTTTAAAGGAAATCCAGTAGTCATCACAGGTAAATAAAAATCTTTTTTAGGCCATTGGTGGTCCAGCAAGTTGAAGCGTTTCCCGCTTTGAAATTCTGGACCATCATTTCTAAATATGCAACGCTATAATTATGTAAAAACCAAAATATTTTTAAAAATAATATATCTAAACCTATAAAAAAGATTCTGTGGGTAATAGCATGAAATTTATTGACCTAGATTATTATAAAAATTTAATTTATTTTGGAAATAATTGTTTTAGCTTCTAAATGCATTCTTAACATATATGAAAAAATAAAATATTATACTACCAACATCAGTGATTTTAGTTGAAATACCATTTTTTTTACGGATGTATTATAGTTCATTTATGTTCATTGTTGTACGATTGTAAATAAAATTAAACTCAGGACTTACATGAAGAAGTTTAAACTTAATTAAAGTAAAATAATTCTAAAATGATATGCTTATGTCTATCTAGAATCAGTTAAAATGCTGTAGAGTTAATTAAAATATTATGTCCTTTCTCTGTTCCTGACAATTCTCTTTGGAAAAATGCTTAAAAAAATCCTAAAACTTCATCAGATTTCCCAACCCTCCGGCGAGATGACGGCTTCTGGGCTGCATCTGACGAAAATAAAGCCCAGGAGTCCGCCAGACATCTCTTTATCACTTTATTTTCTTGCTAAATGTTCATATTCTTCAACAGATGGAAGCACATTGACTAGATGATGCCGGAGTTAACCTTCCCCAAATTCGTTGCTGCTTTTCTGACAGCAGTATATTTTTACTATCCTGAGAGTACAAAACCTTCCTTAATTAGCGATACCCCGCAGTATGCTCTGAAGACGAGATACGATTTTGTCATCGTAGGAGGAGGATCAGCAGGTAAGATTACAACTAGTCACTTGATATATTGATGTACAAAACACTAGGATTGAAACATTTGAAATGTCACTGGAGACAAGACAGAAAGAAGCGGAGGGTGTCTCATAATCTTTTCAAAGTTTGACAGTTAACATTGCCATATGAACTGACATTTCATCTGTTTCGAATGGATATATTATTCAATCCCGAATATAATTATTGATTTTAGGTTGCGTGCTGGCTCACAGACTAACAGAAAATCCTAATTGGAATGTACTCTTAATCGAAGCAGGTGGGGATGGCAACGCCCTCACGGATGCTCCCCGCTTCCACTCACTAATCCGTAACACACAATTCGATTGGAATTATACTACAGTAAAACAAGAGAAAGCTTGTTTAAGTCAGTATAAATAACAAAACCTATACTATACATATACAGAGATACTGTTTTTTAAACGTTTATTTTTCCTTACAGTTTAGAGTAAACTTCAGCAATTAGTGCAATGCAATGCTGTTACCATTCTTGATTTATGATTTTTACTTCCTCACTACCGAAAGTAGGAAAGCATTGTGTTTATGCAATTTAAAACAAGTTAAAACAATTTTGTGATCAGAATCGAAAATTTTCACTCGCATTTTACGTTTCAGACATCAAGGATATAAATATGGTTCGGTATCTATCTGTCTGTAGTCAAATCGATGTGACGGGCATATCACCTAGTACCGTTCATCTGATTTTCATGAAGTTTTTAGGAATTATGCGGAATGCTGCCAAGATGGTCCCATATGAATTTTATCTAATTCTGTCTAGAACTTCCCCTTACGCAAGCGCAAACGTATTTTTTTAGATATGCCAATATTTCAGAAATGGCTCGTTCGATTTGGCTCAAAGTTAGATGAAAGGCAGTTGATGGTGAAAAAATAACATCATGTCAATTGGCGTTATATGTTTTGTTGACTTAGGTAGGTAGGCATAAATTTTATCAAATTCTAGCCACTTTTCCTAGAAAAAATACTTTCGCTTTTGGATTAGCAAACGTATTATTTGGCAAGCCTATAGTTCGAAAAGTGCGCTTTCAAGTTGACCCAAAATAATATTAATAGGAGAATAATATTGGAATTTCCTAGTACGAATTTCATTGAATTCCATTTCATAATTAAAATTCTTATCAATAATTGTTAACAATATAATGGCAGTGAAATGTGAACACCACTGATCATATGGGGTGGGAATTAGTTTATGACAATATTTTTATGTGGTTATAAAATTTTAGGTTTTATTCAAAGAATTAATTTATGCTGCATTGTTTCTTCGATTCCAAACTTTGCTGGCATGACACTTACTGCCGTTACTTAGATTTCATGTAATTTTCAATAAATTTAAATTAATTTTTACTCAGATTTTGTAAAAATGAAAAATCTTATCTGTGATTGTGTTTTTTTCTATTGATCTTCAACCAGTTCGTCGTGGTATCGAGTTTATGTGTGATTTTTACATACATTTTTATATTCCAGTTTAAATAGTTTTGTTCTGACTGAATTAACGTATTGGGCTCGTTAACTCTGAAAAAACAAAAAGTTTAGTTTTACTTATTTCTCTTATGGAGTTTTTGTAACAACGATTGTACGAGTGAAAACATGCTGATTAGTTACATATGACTAATGTTAATGTAAAAGGTTGTATGTAGAAATTTTCACCTGTTAATTCTATTTGTGCTAAAGGTGACATTTAGTATTCTGCAACTGATACAAGAATTCTGCTACTATGAAAGATAGTAGAGGGCTATAAATTATGAAATTATACTAATAAATCATAAAGAAACAATTAGTTTTTATGTTTTCCTGTATAACACTCGATGTTTGCATACGACTTTTTGCTCTAACAGTAGTGATATTCATGTTCAGTACGCACTCGATTTTTTTTTATTCCCAAGGCATCAAGTATGCAATCTGCATATGCGGAACTTTTTCCCATTTTAGTATTCGCTGATGAAATAAACTCATGGGTATCAAACCTGTATATGTAGAGGGATTACTGAATTTCCGAAAACGGTTTTTCCCAGAGATTTCATTCTCATATAAAAAATTTCAGACCTTGTAAAACAGATATTTTTTAGCCAATGCAAACGGTGAGGAAGCTATACTGACCTTACACTTGGCAGACATTTTATACTATACAATGTTGTTACCTTCTTATTTTTAAAAAGGTTCTTTTTTGTCAGATTAAGACAAATTCATGGCATCCTTACTTTTAAATAATAATTTAAATATGGAATTTTAAAAGTTAAAATAACAGTGCCGAAAAACACAACTATAAAAAAGGAACACTATATTTTCAATTTAGGGCTCGATTATTAGTTAAAATTTTATGGCATGCTTATTATCTATTAAAATTGTACTTGTAGGCTTTCACTTTCTATAATTTTTAATTTTACTTACCTGTATGAAAAAACTTATATCAATTCAAAGTAGAGTGGTAAGTGAAAGTTGTGTGATGAGCACACCAGAGTTTTCAAATTGAACTAGTATCCTGTTTATATAAAATTAATACTTTTGTTTAATATACTTAACGTGGTAATATTATGTTATTTGTTATTAATTATCAATATTTGAAAAAGAAAAATATTATCAATATTTTTATACAGTTTCGTATAAAAACATTTATTTGTAAAGAAATTATGAATACATGAGGTTGTTCAAGATGTGGGGACATTTATAGGAAAAGCAAATAAGATAACCCAGGTCTATAATTTTAGTTAAGAATGAATAAATTACTATTATTTCCTATTCATCAATTAAAATTTAATCTAATATTACAGAGAATAATGGAATATGTCCATATCCAAGAGGAAAGGTATTGGGAGGTTGCAGCTCTACTAATGCTATGCTCTATGTCAGAGGAAACAAAGCGGACTATGATGACTGGGCCACGAAGGGGAACTACGGTTGGAGTTACAAAGATGTACTACCATACTTCATTAAGGCTGAAAACAATACGGAACCATCGCTAGCAGATTCAACTTTCCATGGTGTTGCAGGTCCCTTAAATGTTCAGTTTCCTAGATTCGTTACCGATCTAAGAGAAATGTTTATCAATGCGGCTGAAGAATACGGCTGGCAAAGAGGTGATTACAATGGAGAACGGCAGGATGTTGTAGGTTATGTTCAAAGCACTATCGACGGCCCTTCAAGAGAAGATACTGCCAAAGCTTATTTGAACCCCATAAAGAACAGAAAAAACCTCTTTGTAATTAAAAACACTCTAGTAACAAAGATCCTCATTGAAAACAAAGTGGCCAAAGGAGTACATTACTACAGAGATGGTAAGTCTTATAGAGTATTTGCAAAAAAGGAAGTCATTTTATCAGCTGGCGCGATCAATACTCCTAAACTTCTCATGCTGTCAGGGATTGGGCCTAAGGATGAATTAGAAAGGCATAGCATTAAAGTGATTGAAGATCTGTCAGTTGGTAAAAACTTGCAAGATCATCTTCAACTCCAGATGTTTTTCGAAATTGACGGAAACGGTCTTAACGATTGGAAGACCGAAAAAAATATTAATCTATACGCCAAGGAACGAACTGGACCTTTGACTACACCCGCTACTGAAGCTATGGTCTTTTTAAACACTGAAAATAACACATCCCAACAACCGGATTTACAGTTTACCTGGATCAGTGGAGTACTACCCAATACGCTCTATGACCAAAACAGAAATATCATTACTGTAATTTTAGTCAATGTGAAACCTAAGAGTGTCGGTCGGGTGAGATTAGGAAGTGCCAATTCTGAAGATATGCCACTCGTTGACCCTAATTATTTTTCTGAAGGAGGTGATTTTTCAGTGTACCGAAAAGGAATCGATCACCTGTTAGAATATATGAAGACACCAACAATGTCAAAACTTTCTCCTAAATTGTGTACCGATCTTTATCCTAAATGCAAAGGCATGGATCAGAATAATTTTATCAAATGCATAATTAATTTCTATTCTGAGACGATTTATCACCCCGTTGGAACTGCTAAAATGGGGGGCGAGGAAGACCCGGGAGCGGTCGTAAATGCTGATCTCCAAGTTCATGGCGTAAGGAACTTAAGGGTAATAGATGCTTCCATAATGCCGAGCATACCGGGTGGAAACACCAATGCGCCGACGATTATGATCGCCGAAAAAGGATCTGATATCATAAAACGATTTTATAAACTCCAAAAATTTTAACATTACAGAATTTGACTAATCACACTGTAACTAATGCAGTTGAACTTTTACATACATGGGTGTTTCCTCTGTAATGGACATACAGTTCTGAAATTTCGCAACAATTACCTTTCAGGTATTTTTCCAAAAATATTCACGGTAGTTCCTTTTAATATTGAATAGTAATTTAATCATCACGAATTTTATTTCTGATCTTTTTTTTTCCAATATTGGTTGGCCTTCGCGTTGAAGAGGTGAGGAAATGAAGAACGAGAAAACAAAATAGATGCAAAAAAAAAATCATAATTTTTGTTATAAACAATTATTCTACTAATCATAGAATTCCTCCTTTCTAGGAATGATCCGTATAATTTACCATATATTTATTGGATTTTGAAATTTTATTAGAAAGGTTTTCCTTTCATATCAAATTTATTTGTCAAATACCACCTAATTAAATATAATATAATGGAAGAAGAAATGTAACAGGCTCGGCCACTACACCGAGCCTGTTAAGATGTTGCCGGTTCGAAGCCGACCTGGTTGTGTTGAAATTGCTTTCGTGACGGGCCTAAGGTTGAATCTCGAAGTTCTGGTTAGAATAAGTTTGGTTGTATCTCTAAAACAATTTTCCTGTCCACCTCCATTTTTTTAGAATTGTGGTATGGAGTATTGACGAAAAAATAAATAAATAAAAGAAGCAATATGTTAAATTATAAATAAAAATCAATGTGATTTACATAATCTCTCGTCCCGGCAACGATACGAAGTGTAAATGATCCTTTATTACTACGGTAAGGCAGCGATCCCTAGAAAGGTACCGATGAAGCTTGCCGAATTTTAAAAAGTTATTTATTCTTCATAAGTCAGAATTTGGTAATGATCATGTAAACACTAAACAAATTGTAAATATTACAAATAAATTTAGATTAAAAAAAAACTGAATTTGTATTTTTCTTTTATTTACAACCTAAGATTTTTTAAATTTATTTAATTGTTTCCTCACTACCGAAGATAGGGAAGCTTTTTATTGGTACGCGAGATTAAAACAATTTTTATGGTCAGAATTGAAAATTTCCACTCGCGTTTTACGTTTCATACATCAAGGATCAAATTTGGTTTAGTGTCTGTAGTCAAATCGATGTGACAGGGATATCACATTAATACGATACCGTTAAATAAATACCGTTAAATAAATAACGTAATAAATACCGTTAATACGATTTTCATAAAATTTTCCAGAATTGTGCGGCTAGGTGCCTAGATAGTCCCATATCAATTTCATCAAATTCCTTCGAATACTTTCGGTTAACCAGGTGAAAATGTATTTTCTTTAATATACTAATTTTACTGAAACGTTGTTCGTTCAGTTTGGCTCAAACCTTGAAGAAATGTGACTACTGCTAAAAAAAAATGATTTGCTCGTATTTTATTTGATACGCTTATTTCTCAATAACTGCTTGTTCGAATTGACCCACATTTTGGAAGAAATTTAGGGTTTGATAAATAAATGATCAATTGAGATTCAATTTCAACAAATTCGATCCACTATGCAAAAAAAAAATTCACTTCATTTCAGTAATTTTTGTAATGGAAAAATTAGAGCTTAATAACTAATAGTGTAACAGGTTGAACATGCAAGTGTAAGTTAAATACAAAAATTCACTTTCAAATCTCTCTAGGCAAATATATGTAGCTCAGAAACTATAGTTATGTGGTTTACAAAAACAGATGGATTTATGAAGTTTTTATTGCCTAAAATCGACATAATAAAAATGGTTTGTGTTATTTTAATGACATTAACGAGTTGTTACAAATTAGCTGTAACGATTTAGATTTAGCTCAGTTAAAAACGCACTTGAAGAACTTTTTAATACATCAACATTGTCAGAAAATAATTTCTGACCTGCTATGTATAATGGACGCCGGATTGGTTAATTTAAATCTATATCATAAATTAGAATCATATTTCAGGGACTCAAAATAATGAAAGATGGTAAAGGATAGAAGGATGGTAATAACTGCCAACTGACGCAGTTTAGGTAAGTGTTGTTACCTTACAAAAGTATTGAAGAAGTGTAAAAACATCGACTTCTGCACACGTACAAGGTAAGGAGATCTTCCTTTGCGAATTGGATTATTTAAAAATAAAATTTCACCCAATTCAACTGTTAAGGAAGCTATACTGACTTACTTGGCAGAAGTTTTTTTTATCTATTGTATATTACAACATTCTGTCTCTTGGATATTGGTTATAGTGAAGTAAGACCACATTGACACTATACGTACAAAAAAATATAAAATAAACAGAAGCAAAATAATAATAAAATAGTATACTCAATAAAAAGAATGAAATAACGTAAAAATAAGGAAATTAAAAAACACATACACTATTTACAATCAGGCGAGGGAACACCGGGGCAGGCTTCCCCCTCCAATTATAGAGAGAAAAGAGGACTCCAGGAGATCCCTGCACTACTCTCTCAACCGCCTCACTGGTACTAAAGCCAGCGAAAATTAATCGAGAGCGCTTTAGCCACATACACCCATCTCTTGAGTGTAGAATCTGACAATCAGGAGAGGCCAGAAGGAGGTTTCCTCAACATTTTTGAGGGGGGCATATTTACTTATAGGAATGAAAAGTTTCATACTAAGCACTAGCAGATCCAGGATTTAATTTTGGGGGGGGCTTCAGCCCGAAAGCTTTTTTTTTTTCATAAAAATGAGGATAATTACTTTGGAAAAAAAGAAAGAAACTAACTATCTATATGAAATGGTGTTTAAGTGATTCCTTAAGTCCTTTTAAATGTAATTACACGAACAACAACACTTTAAGAGATAATATTTTAATATTTTTTTCCATAAAATATTATTATATTTTACCATTTTGGGGGGGACTTCAACCCGAAAGTCCTCCCCCCTCCGTAGATCCGCTCGTGATACTAAGGGACAAGACGAAAACATGGAACAAGTGTAATTGTGTATGATCAACGATTTGTCTAATTCTACCTTCGCTTAGTCTATTTTTTAGAAAATATGAGAAATACCTTGGGAAAGGGAAGAGGTGGGGTTTGTACTTGATAGGGATTGTGTAAAATGATTTGGATGATACCTGAGGTTCTGGTGAAATTTGGAGAATTTTTCTACAACCCAAGAATTAAAAATAAATTTTGCAGAAGAAGATGAACTGGTTTAACTTAAAATAAATTAAATTTTATTCATGTCAGTGACAATATTCACCATGAATTAAGGAAGTTTCCATCTGAGGGTTACATGGCGTTGATCCAAGGAATTTCATCCAGGACACAACTACCTGTCATTACCGCTATCTAGTTTGGACTTTACATCTTTTTATCTCGTCTTATTTACATACTTCTATCTATATTTAATTTTTTCGGATGTGTTTTAATTTTTAGTCCTGATTATGACCCGCAGCCTTCAGTCACCACAACGTCAAAATCCTAATAAAGCATATAAAGACGACATTTTCTTATAGTTTGTCATCATAGTGAAAATAAAGAACAATAGAGCTCTTGGAGAGAATAATATCCCGCTAGAGGTTATAAAACGTGGCAATGCCTGCGGAGAATTGGACCTACATTTCTAATCTACAAGAAAGAGAACATTTCTCTCTTGTTAGGGTTGTAACTAACATCTAAGCAAACAGGATTCACACTTTTTCCTGATTAGTAATGTCAGACTGTCAGTGTGTCATTAGATGAAACAGAACCGTAGACAAAAAAAAAAGCTCTAGCAAACGTCTTGAGTATCGTCTGGACATGTATATTATGACTTTTAGGAGGGTTTCGATAGAATATCAGCAATATTTTGCCTTAGAGCATTACAAGATTTTAACATTCCAAATAAAATAACAGAAAATGAAATTTAAGCCATGAGCCAAATATTACAGCAGAGCATGTATGATATGGAGTTTGGTGTTCACTTGGTTGTTCTTTTGTTCTAGGGCGCTAACTGCAGCACAGAATTATTTCAGGCATGATTGTGAACTTTTGGCAATTTTCGAAGTAGTTTGTATCTGCTAATATTTTTGTGGGATGCACAATATAGGAAAGTGTTGAATCTCAAGTGGTGAGTTTAATATTTAACTAGTGGATGAAAAATATGTCTCGTGGGCCCTTGCATGTTGGTTGAAACCTATGCCAGAGATTGTAGTAGAACATGTCGCGTAGACATTTGTCGATAGTTTATCTCCAGTAAAAATTACAACAGACAAAGGCCGATCTTTTGAAGCGGAGGTCTTCTGATGGTTTACAATGCTGTTGGATGGGCACGAGAAGCGAACCACAGCTCCTAACCACACTGCCTTATGTCTCCATAATTCAGGCAAAGAAAACAAATCCATCTACATTTCGCCAATTCAGGCAGAATCAGGGCAGAAAAGAACAGCCAATCGAACATCACTCTATGACATCCAATCGCATATTGCTGCGTATTCGAATGAAGTGATGTTCAATTGGATATCTCTCCCGTCCGGATGATGCCTGAATTGGCGAAATGTTGACGGTTTTTATTTCTTTGCCTTCATTTTGGAGACATAAAGCTGTGTAATTTGGAATTTTTCCAATTATAACCTCATATTTATGTCCTGTCTCTTGATTAGTTTGTTACTAATTTATATTAATTACACTAGAGGTTATTAACTGTTGCAATAATTGTTATTTTATTAGTGAAAGTTAACGTGTGATAACGGACTATTTGCAATGCAACAGAGTTATCCCAACATTCCCCTAAAGTTATATACACGAACCCTATTTCTATGCAAATATTCACCATTATCTTGATAACAGTTACTTTTAATGTGCCCTGTTTTTCTTCAATCAAAGCAGGTTATTTAGCTATGGCCTTTAATTCTTTAATAACGTTCGATTTTCCTATTTTGGAAATTTTCCTAATTATAACCTAATATTTATGTTCTGTGTACTGATGAGTTTGTTAATAATTTATATTAGTATCAAACGATGGTATAGGAACATAAAAAGATCACTAATGACAACCGTCTTAATAGGTCTACCGATATGGAACAGTATGGCCAAAGCACTTTATAGAAAGCCACTTCGATTACTCAGAGAATTCTTACAAGAATCGTCGTCTGAAGTAGTATTTATCCTATTAATAGTTAAAATTTAAATGTCCATAACAATCTAACAAAAATATTTTTATAGATTAAATTTCAATTGTCGACACTTTAAAATATATAAATATATTGTATAAAGTAATAATATAAATAATAAATAATATAAAGTAAGAAAAAATGTATTGAAACTGTTTTTACATGGTAGATATTTTATGTCTTCTTTCTGTAAAAAGAAAATTTTATTATTTTTTTATTTTTCCGAAAACTTCTTAAATTAAATAGATTTTATATTAGTTCAATAAAAAGAAGTAATGATGAGAAAGGAAACAGTAGAAATTATATTTTTTAAATCAAAATTAATAAATAAATAATAAAAAGTTATCTAAGCTTCCAGAGTGGTCATTTTAGTATTTTTACTTTAAACTTTTCATAAAGAGGAAAAATAAAAGATATTTTTTATTAACTTAAGTTCTACATAGCAAAAATATTTTAAAGTAGTTCCTTCGATATTTATTTAATATATATTGACATATCACACCTACTAATTACAGTTCACATCGATGAATAATAAGTTGCTAGCATTACAAATAAAACGTATATGACGTATAATATAGATAGATAGATAGAAAGTAAACTTTATTCTGGGACAAGATCCCTTATGAATAACAGATATGAACAAAAAAATAAAAACTACATCTGGCCAACAATTATATATATATATATATATATTATTATAGAAGAAACCTAGCCGACTGTTCTACATATCATGGGTGATAAATATTCAGGACGCAGTCTTTTTAAAAAAAAATTCAATTTTATATTTGAGCCAACGTTTCAAACCAAACATGTGGGTTATCTTCAGGGCGCGGTTCGAGCACTGAATGCTTTCAAGCACTCATAGTAAAGTAGAATTCAGTGCTCGAACCACGCCCTGAAGATTACCCACATGTTTGGGTTGAAACGTTGGCACAAATAAAAAAAAACTTTTTAAAAGACTGCGTCCTGAATATTTATTACCCATGATATATTATTATATTATAAATACATATATATATATATATATTATATATATATATATATATATATATATATATATATATATATATATATATATATATATATATATATATATATAACGTATATAAGATGAATTGAGTGAATTAATAATTAGTCTTTATAAAATGCTTTAATAATATCTGAACCCTTTTCACCAATCATAATAGCTGGTGCATTAGTGTTGCCACGAACTATGAATGGCATAATTGAGGCATCGATAACCCTCAACTTACTAATGCCATAAACTTGAAGATAAGAATTGACTACAGCGTCTCCTTCTTGGCCCATCCTTGCGGTACTTACTGGATGAAAAATTGTAGCAGTGTAATGAGTAATGACACAAGGAATAAATTCTTCCACTGCCATTCCTTGACACTCAGGTTGAACCTCAGTGTATAGGGTTGGTTCGAGTTTAGACATCGTTGGAGTTTTCATATATTGAAACAAATATTCCATGCCTCTTTGAAAAGATTCAAAATCTCTATGATCAGAGAAATAGTTTGGATCAATCAGAGGTGGGTCGTACCATTTGGCACTCCTCAATTTAACACTTCCTACGCTAAATGGCTTCACGTTGCACAACAAAGTCGTGATAATATTCCTGTGTTGAGGTTCAATAATATCCGCCAAATGATTGACCCACGTGACCTGCATATCAGGTAGCTCAGAACTGTTTGTTGTACTGAAAAATGCCATTGCCTCACCTCCAGTCGTTGTTAAAGGCCCATTTCTATCCTTAGTGTATTCTTCTATACTTCCAGTTGTTTCCCAAACATCACTTGTTAGAGTGTCGTTTAAATTTATTTCAAAATATATATGTAAACGCAAATGATCTTGTAAATGCTCCCCAACAGGCAAATCTTGCACTATTGGTATATTATGCCTTTTTAGTTCATCGCTGGGACCAATCCCAGAGAGCATCAAAAGCTGTGGAGTATTTATAGAACCAGCAGATAAAATGACCTCCATTCTAGCACTTACTCTATACATACTTCCATATCGGTAATATTCCACACCTTCAGCGACTTTATTATTGAATATGATTCTGGTTACTGTCGAACCCTTAATGATATTAAGATTTTTTCTATCCCTAATAGGATCTAAGTAACCTCTAGCAGTATCCGCTCTTATAGGACCATTAATAGTTGCCTGAGCATAACCTACAACATCTTGCCGTTCTCCATTAAAATCACCTCTTTGCATTCCAAATTCTTCAGCAGCTTGAACAAAACGTTCCCTCAAGGGAGACACGAAGTTTGGATATTGGACGTGTTGGGGTCCGTTAGTTCCATGAAAAGAGGAATTTACCAAAGATGGTTCTGTGTTGTTTTCTGATTTTATAAAGTAAGGTAATACATCATTGTAACTCCATCCAGGATTACCAAGAGCAGCCCATCCATCGTAATCTGCAGCATTTCCGCGCACATAAAACATTGCATTGATAGTACTTGAGCCTCCCATAGCACGTCCTCTTGGATATTGACACCGCCCATCTCTACCTAAAAAAATAATTTCTTGTTTAAATAAAATTTTGAATAATTTTTCATAAAAATCTAAATATTACACAAAGTTTCAAATAAATAAATTTTAAAATAGTAGGTATTTTGTATATTTATTTAAGAATGTAAGTCATTCAGTCTTAAGATGGGCGTTATTAACATTAGCCTTGTTTACGATAAATATTAATATAAAAAATTTATAGTTTTGATGGTTAATTGATACCATATGAAAAACTCTGCAAATTATTTCACAATGAATTATTATTTCCAAACAACTATACATCTAAAGTAGCATTACCTTCCTAGTGACAAAGAAAAAGAAATAAAAGGTGATTCCAATTATTGGACTAAACATTTTTTTTTTTTCATTAATAATATGCTAAAAAAAATTATCATTACTTCAGTAACACATTCAAAAATCAAAACAAAGAATATAATCTTTGCAGTAGAACATATATAAAAAACATCTAGAGACCATATCTTTCCTCCTAATTGTCCGATTTTAACGATTTTTTTTGTTTTGTTTTTTTAGGAAAATCAATAAACTTTTGAATAACAATATACAATATCTCCAAAAAGGTGTATACTTTTTGGGTTATTCTGAACCTAATTTTACCATACCTCGTAACTTTTCCAACTTCTTTTTGTTGAAGTATGTTATATAGATAAAGTTAAAGGGCACCGTGAAGAAGAGCTTAGTGAAGTTTAATTAATAACGGTTCATTTGTTTAGGCGCTACAGTCTATAGCAACGCAGGTTTTTCGATCGCCATCTTTAAAGGAAAAGACGGATAGAATGTCAATGAAAGAGGTTCATCCTCGGGTGACCTCTAATTTTAAATCTAATTTTGAAAAAAAAATGGTCCAGTAGTTTCGGAGAAAATGGGCGGACGGCGAACGGACAAAAACATTTTATCCGAATTCGTTTTTCGAATTCTACGCATTCTGAAATGTAAAACCTCAAATTTTGAGGGGAGTTAAGTTTTTGAATTTTTTTTTCCATCACAACGGTTCATTTTTGAAAATAATAAACCAAAAACATGAACGCTACACAAAAATTCACAGCCGGCAATGTATTTATGTATGGCTGATATTTTCATTTCCTGTAATATATCAAAATGACATGATGCAGGAGCGTTGAAATGTTGATATGGACTAGTATTGTTCTTCTCTACCTGTTGATTTTCTAATATTGTTTGGGCTATTGAAATGATTGCCTTTTCTGAAGATCTTTGCTGTCAAGAAATACAAAAATATATTACGACTCAGAGACACAGCCCTTATCGAATGAAGGTTCCAAAACCTTTAGGTTTTGAAAGAAAAATGAGTAGAATGTTGGGTCAGTGGAGGAAAAATGCTACGATTTTTCTAACTCTACCTTTTTTCTAACTTTCTCTGTTATTAAGAAAAAATGAGCAATACAATATCTTGGGATGAGGAGGAGGTAGGTTCTTGTGCCATGAACCTTGGAAGGATGGGCACCTCTGATGGCAGGATATGTCAACAAGAAAGGATCGCCAACCAACTCACCAGTTATGCAATGGTGAAACTACTGCTTTAATATGTGGAAGGCAGAAGATCTGCCCTTATTCAATACATCCTCTGCAGTTTCTCATAAAACATCCTTATTTTTGTTTACATAACTAATATCTTGTCCTGTTGTTGCTGTATCTGAAAATGGCTCTAATAAAATAGTCTCTCTTCTTTCAATCCAATCCTAATTATAAATGCACTCATTATGATAGGATATATTGACCTGGTGGTGGTGTTGATAATTTTATTTATGATAGTTTGAAGGTAATTAAAAGAACATTTTAATGTGGTTCAGTTCCTTTTTATATAATAAAAATTATCTCAAACATTTATGATTCTGAATAAACCTCCTTCCTCCCCTCTTCTACTAACAAGTTCATACTAAATAAAATCAGTTTGGTGAAATAAAATCATAAAAATTTTCTTACTGAAATAAATTAGATTTTATTTTTTAAATACCTAAACAAGCGTTCTTTTGTGGTATTGTGGTATAATTCCAATCTATTTCTGTATTATAAGTACGCAAACTTAAAAACGGGGCATCGGATATGGGATTTCCGTCAAATCCAGCTTCAATCAATAGAACATTCCAATTTGGGTTTTCTGTTAGTCTATTTGCTACTACACTACCTGAAAAAAAATAGACTAATGCAATTGCCATCTGGAAAAAAATAATTTTTTTTAAATACTAATTTATATTAATGATAACAAAATTTTAAATAAAAGCAACTAACCTGCAGATCCCGCTCCAACAATTATAAAGTCATATTCACTCGATATAGAAGATTGTGGAATATCAGTAGTTTTCAATGAAGGATCGATACTTTCAGGAAAATAAAGGTTTACTGAAGTAAATAACGTACTCATAAATGCTGAGAAGTTCAATTCCATCATATATAGTTTCCTATTGACATATTAAAAAATTAGAAAGCACAAATTTTTATATTTAACATAAATATAAACTGATACTGAAATTTCATATTATCTCCTTCCTTCCAAATTTACAAATGAAAGAATGTATATTTTGATCCTGAACGTTTAGTCAATTAATAAATTCAAAATACTGAGGACCAAACTGATTTTATAATAATATGTCAAATAATTCTAAAGAACTTAATGTGCAATATTTTTCCAAAAATTAGAATTCCTTTTGCCTAGAAAAAAAAAAAACATTTTCCCTGAATATGATGTATCCATCCTCAAAAATTTTTTTTTTCCTATCCAAGCGCTTAGTCCTAATTCAGAACCCTTTTTCTCCAGCAGCATCTTAATCTTTTCAATCTGTCTGAACCAGTTTTCTACACAATCAACCTTAATAAAATTGCCTCTTAGATCACTTAAGCCATAGATATGTGCTAAATATTGCCACCCTCATCCTCCAGGCTTCTTCAACATTATTGACCACCTCTTCCTCTAATCACAACAGCCCAACTTTTTTTTCAATACTGGCATCCAATGGATTCAAATAAATTTCTATTTTGAATTGATGAATATATTCTTCTTCATTATGCGGGTACTGAGATAAATTATTAATTTTATTTCAATGTCTACCTGTTATTTCTTATATTTATAAATATTATATTTACAAATGTTATTTTATGTTTATATATATAATAACCATATATTTTCCAATCATATATAAAAAAAAAACTGAATATAAAAAAGGAATGGCGATTTGGTCAGATTGCATAGAGAAATTATTTTTATTGGAAATGATGATAGCTAGAAATGGATGATTTTAAAAATTGGATTTATATTTGTATTTTTTTATATTGAATTGGTTTCTAATCAGGCAATTGCTCTTGTGAATTAATCTTTCAAAATATGGCTTAATGTGGACTAATCAAGTTAAATAAAATTATAATCGAATTTAACAGAATCATAAATAGATAACAAATCAACAAATAAATGATGCATTTGGTTTCTCTTTACCTCTCTATAATAGTTAGTAAGGAAAATATCTGATTTTTATTGACTTATCTTCAAGAAAGCCATACTTTTATTTCTCCACTGTACTTTCAACCTGAGGTTGAAATCATATGAGGATATAATACATTTGAAAAAATATTATTGGAACATGGAAGAAGAGCGATGCTTCGATAATTATTTCAATAAAAAATGGTTTCTCTTAAATTGAATAGGTTACAAAAAAGTCTTCTTCTAAGCTTCAGGAACAATTTCTTTGGTCCAAATCAAAACAAGAAGATTTTGTAACGCTTAGATGAATATTTTTATGAACAATTTGCCCTGTTATTTTTAATTTGTCAATTACTTTACGCAATTCTTCGTTATCTATGGAATTTTATAGGTTTATAAGTTGTTACAAATATAATAAAATAGAAAAAAGTGAAGATGAAATTAAGAAAGATTATAAATTTAAAGAAGTTTAATATGAGGACAAACAACATGTTTTATTTTATTAATATGATTTTATAGAAAAATTTCAAATATGAAAACAAATTGATAGGCGTGATAAGGGAATTGATACAAAAACCTGCAAAGTGGATCATATTTTTAATGTTTTAAAGGTTTTAGTAAGGTAGTTTTTAGTGTTGGAGAGTATTTTCTTGTTTTTATACCAACCATCTTATCACTTTTTAATGAAAATCAAAAACAAAAGTTTTAATTTAAAACATCAATAACAATATTCTAGGTAAACAACTGAAGAGAAACCATTTTAGTATGAGCGGTATTGAAATAATAATATACTTGCAAGTTAGTGAATGCAAATGAAAGAGTGTCGAATAAATTTAACTCTTAAAAAAACAGTTCATTTTAGAAGATTTGCGTGTAATTTCTCATCTTAAGCTCTACCTACAAGGGTCTCCCTTAAGTTATTGAGCTGAACCTGGTTTTATATAAAGCCTTTCAGGACATATAACGGGAAAATTCAAAAACAGAAGTTTTGTTAACAGCCCATTTGAATTGGTTATAAACTAAAATTGTTGATATTTTTTTCACTTGACTTATTTTTGTACCAACAACATATTAAGTACAAAATATATTTGTAAGTAAAATTTACAACCATTTCATTTAAAATATTCACACATTATTTTTTTATTTCTCCCATTATTTGTATTAGAAGATGAAATATTTAAAATATATACTTTAAGTACTTACAACCAAGATTTTTGAATCTTAAGTCTTCATACACAATTTTGCTCCTATTTGCGAATTAAATAAAAAGGTACAATTGTGAAAGTGACTTTTCTAATATAGATATCACTCTGCCTGTCTTATACAGTTGACCCTTAAAAGCTGCATAGATAAGTGACATCTATTTACGGTTTATTTAAAAAGGAAATAAATATTCATGCATTCTAGTTTAGGAGCAGGATTTTTTGGAGGGTAAAGTAGTGCACTTCTAGCTCTCAGGCCCATTTTAAAATAATAAATTTAATTCATGCTCTATTAGTGAATCAAAGTTATTAGTTGTTTACTGCTCTGAGTCTTTTGATTAGTCAGCTTGGTCAAAACATACATAAAATCCATCATCCATTCCAAAAATTGGAGATTGAGCAAGATTCCTGTTCACATATCTCTTTATTTAACAACTATACTTCCTTATAAAAAATAGGACCTAAAAGTTTTTTTTTCATGGGTATCATACACCATACTCATATGATTCTAAAATACTATCAACTTTTAAACTGGTATTAACTTGACTTGTATTTTAGAAAAAAATTAACTTCAAAAATGTATATTTATTTGATATATTTTCTCAATACAAGGTCTGAATAATTTAAATAAACTCAAATCAAATCTAAAAATAAATACAATGAAAGTCTTTTTAAGGAACTCAAGTATTGTTTTGGAGTACATGAGACATTGCATATTATTTACTAAATAGAAATAGTCATTACTTTCATTATATTTATGTTGAGTTTTGGAACGAAAAAGATGTATTAAGTCAGTTAATAGTGCTAAAAGGTGCTACAGCACACTAGCGGATCTAGGATTTCATTTTGGGGGACTTCAGCTCAAAAGCTTTTTCTTTTTTAAATATAATGATAATTACTTTGGAAGAAAAAGGAAAAACTAACTACCTATATGGAATGGTGATTAAGAGATTCTTGAAGTCCTATTAAATATAATTACACGAACAATAATACTTTTAGACATAATTTTTTGATATATTTTCATAAGACATGGTAATATTTTACCATTTTGGGGGCGAGGAGGGAGGTGCTTCAGCCCATAACTTCCCTCTCCCCCGTAGATCCATCTGTGCTATAGCATTCATGATTCTTAAAAATAAATTCTTAATAATCAATCAATCCTGAGTACATTCAATATATTTATTTTTACTATTTAGTTACATTATAATGTGGTGTAAGTGTTTTTTTTTACTACTATTAAATTATTATAGAAGTATTGCAAAAGTTGTATCTATATCTTTCATGAACAAATTATAAGTAAAAAATTAAAATAATCCAATTTCTTGTTTTTCCTTTTATTATGTCATTTTATTGATAGTAATTTTAGTATTTAAAAAAAGAAAAATAATAATAACGAACCAGATATAAAATAAAAATTAATATTACATAAAATTATCAAGTACAAGGTAAGATTCAGTATTATATAAAATCATATGACAAGGATATTAGCTTAAATGATTTTATTGTTATTTTGTAAGGTTTTGTCCATTGAAAATGACCTAAAGAAAAAATTAAAGTAGGACTAAGGATCAAATGTGCTTTATTATTGCAAATAAAATTATATCTTGCACAATTATTTTACTTCATGTATATATTACAGGCATATATTACCTCCTACAAGTTTATTGATTGACTTAATTGATTCTGGAATTCAATCATAGTTTCAAATGAGTCAAAATTTAATATTTTTAGTTCCGATAAAGTGGTTTATATTTATTATGATATTTCTTGATGTATAGTATCATCGACCAGCTCTATGTTGTTTCTCCATGCCTTCTTGGCTTCCCTTGGTGACTAATTTGGTACTTCTGAACAATCTGCTGGTATGGAATGCTATCTGCCAATGTTGACAAACTTAACACTAATAAGGCACTGATAATCCCTATCTTCATATGAAATTCAAAAACACAAAAACAAATGTAATAATAAAAAAACTTTTATTTTACAACATATATATGAAATAAACAAAAGCAAATATAGTAATATAACAAAAAGAAATATATTAATAAGAAACAGAAATATAATAATAATATTATAATTTAATAATAAGAAATATAAATAAAAAAAGACTTTGATTTTACAAGAAAGAAATAGAAGAAAGAAGTTATATATACTTTGTTAAACAACTAAACATAAAAATTCATTAATGACACATAAACCTTCGAATCAAGTTGTAAAATAATACCAATCATTATCTCATGCTAAAAAAAAATAATAATTTCAATTCAAAGATTTCTTTTAATCACACATTTTTAATGAAAACGAGGCAGTTTCCAATCAGAAGTATGGTGTAAAAATGAGAAATTTTATCAACTTTTAAACTTATTTGAATTCATCCATTTACAAATTTTTCCTTATCGGGGGAACAGGTGATAGGACTGTTAAGGATTTGTATTACATTTTTACCAAATATAAAAGGTTATCACATGCATTAAGTGGGTTAGGGTATCAACCGATTTGTAAAACTATCATTTTTTTTTTTTCTAAATAAAATCATTATTATTATTCCCTCAGTTATTTTGGTATCCAGTCTTAGACGTTTGATCAGTAAAACACGATCCTAAGAACTGAAAAGGCTTTAGTTATTACTTTCACTTACCTATATATGTAATATTCCATTTTAAGGAATTGGAATAGGTGTGAGTAACAGTTGTGACAGGAATCCTTGTATCTTTCATTGAACAGGGAGGAATCGTTCTGCTGGTTTGTGTAATTTATAGTTTTTGGATTTGGACTGCAAGGTCCAGGCACCTTCCATCGGCGTGCACGTCCACCATAGGTAGTTTTCCTTGCCACCTCCTGGTGGTAGGGCGATATCTTGGTTTAATGGGTCAGCACAGGCCTTCAGCCAATCAAAAAATTTAATGAGCCTGGATGGATTTTTCTATTCTTAGTCATTCGTAGGGTGGTGAAACGGATTATTCGCCGAAGGACAGAGTTCTGGAAGCCATGCATACTTTGGAGTAAAAAAAAAAAATAAAAAAAAAGCCTTCTGCCTAGTATGCTTGAGCTTACGCCTGACTTGACTGGAGAAGGTAAGGTGCCTATTCAGTGTGACGCCGAAGTAGAGGATCGTGGTGGGAATCCGTTGGTTAACTCCTCCAAAGGTGAAGTGGGTAGGCAGAGGCTTCTTACCCTTCTGGAATGACATCAAGATAACAACAGTCTTCGTAGGGTTCACTCTGATACCGATCTCCTCAAGTGTTAATTTTCAAAATCTTTCATAGTTTATATTTAGCCAAGAGAAGCTATTATATAAATAGTCCATTTAAAGGATTCAAAGGGAGCCATTTTGTAAATTCGCTATAAAGCTTGTCAGAATGCAACCATGAGGATAAAATCTAAATTATATTAACAATCACTTAATTATACTTTAGTACAATTAGTCTAATCAAAATCGTTAGAGACATTTTAGAGAAAATCTTAAATATGAGTAAAATCGATGTTATAACGAGGCACTTCTGGTTAGCTGGTTCCAACGAAAACCATGCTGTAACAATACCCAAATTATTGTAAATAGATATGTACATTAGATACGTAATTTCAGTTTTGTATAATTTTTCGTTCACATTCATATACCTTTTTGAGAAAATTGGTTAATTTGGCTCACAGATATTCAGAAAGTGTTTTTCAGTTGAAAACTCGGATTCTAACTTTTTCACGCTCTATATTTCAAATACAGGTATATGAAACTAAAAAAATCATTGTAAATCACAAGACTATGATAGATATTAAATTTTTAACGCTTAATGTAACATAATGATGCAGTAATCATCACTTTTATCCAACATTCGTTATATCCAAATCTTAGATTACGTTTGTACAAGAATTCCATTTTCTTTATATTTTTTTCTGTTTGATTATTTTACAAAAGTAATAATACTTTTCTTTTTTAGGTTACCCCATTTTATTATTTTTCCTCCTAAATTTACAAGCATTTCTTAAAATCACTAAATCAATCTACCCAGAATATCAAGTTTGAGATTTACTCTTTTAGTCCACTATGAAATAAATGTGGAAACTTTCAAACTAATTGTTTACTTACTTATTGTGACAAAAATTATTTATCCAAGTTTTTACCATCATATGCTTAAAATACCACATGATAGTGATTAAAGGTACTCTTTAGAATTCTATAAACGTTTCTTTTGGCAAGATGAGGAGGGGTGCATCTCCAAGGAGAGGTTATGCCACTCCACCAAGGTCAAGTTCTCCGCCGTAAGTAAATTATATAGAAAGTTGCAAATAAGTAATCTTCTAACACAACTTTATTCAAAATGGAAACTAATAAAACTTGAAAGTTATTGCGTCTGATTTAGGTTAATGATATATAAATTAGCACAATATATAGGTTTAGATCCTGCCTATCTAAACCAATCCAAGATGCGAGTTATGTTGAAGATGATTTGATTTAGCACAGGAAATTCTTATTTTGTGAAATAAATTTAGTTCGGACTTGAATAAGAAAACACTGTGCCAGGAATACCCATCTCCCGCGAAAGCGCATGAATCCGCTTCGATGCTTTCCTGTTCTTGAAAGAGAAAGTAGAATTAAAAAAAAAAAAAATGTTGATCATATATAATTAAACTCGCTGTGGTCTGTTTTGTTTTCTCCTTGTTTGAAAATGGCTCCACATTGAAATCAAATGTCTCAAAAAACAACTCTCCTCAGAAACTCAAATCCCCCTAAAAATGAGCCTCCCAACAAAACTAGCGGTGTTTGGTAACCTGATAAACTGAAGATTACAAGTTCGAGTTCAGGTGCTAGGGGCTTGTAACTTCTTCTTTAGCTTGCCTCTTTAGTGCCTCTCAGCGCAGAGGAGCATTCAGCCAGGAATTACATTCTTCCCTATTTCTAGCTTCCTAGGTTCTTCGCCTGTCGGAGGCCCTTCTTCCTCGCCCTACAGAGTCGCTCAATGTAGTCAAGATAGGATATTCTAGGGCGACCCCTAGGTCTTCTGCCATCTGGGACATATTCCATAATGTTTAGAGGATCTCTGTGGTCGTCCATCCTGATAACATGGCCGAACCACTTTAGCTGACGAGTTTCTAGGAGCTCTTTCAGTGTGTCGTTCTGTCGAATACTATGTCGTTTTGGACGAATAATTTCATTGCGAACTCGGTCTCTCCTTATTTTTCCCAACCGTCCTTCGCAGAAATTTCATTTCGGCAGCGGTGATTCTGCTCTCCTGTCGGTCTGTAAATATCCAGCTCTCCACTCCATACAAAAGTATGGGTAGATATACCGTCTTGAAGATGTGTAGCTTGACATCTTTGCCTACTTCTCTCTTCCCTACTACAGTGTTACATATCTGGTAGTAAAATGTATTTGCCTTATTAATTCTGTTTGATATTTCTGTGCCTACCTTCCCAGATCCGTCTATCACTGTACCCAGGTATGTGAAGTCTGTCACCACTTCTAATTCTTCTCCATCACAGTATATGTGGATATCTTCCTTCTTTCTTCCGACTTGTAGGATCTTACTTTTGTTGGTATTTATAAGCATTCCTTTTCGTTGGAGCTCTTTATGCCATTCCAGAACTGCCAATTGCAGCTTTTCTACTGAGTCCGTAATCAATACCACGTCGTCGGCGTAGCGGAGAAGGTGTATCACTACAGGATTAAGATTCCTACGTCCCAGGAATGTCATATCCGTTCTTCTCTTACAAATGGATGCCACTTCATCCATGAGAACAACAAGAACAACGATATGCTTACGCTGTCTCCTTGTTTCACCCCCTTTGCAATATTGATTGGCGATAAAGGCGTTGAATATTTCCCTTACGGATTCGCTAACCCATTCGAATACTGATCTTGTCCTTTGAAGTTCTTACTTCAAAATTTTAAACTTAGGTTGGGTCTTTTTCAGATGGCTGTACCATCCAAGTCAAATAATGAATTTATGTTCCATTGAACGATTTCTTGTCCCCAGTGGAAAGAAATGCCACTTTTATACTTAAACATAGCTGTGATTTTTTTTTTTTTTTTTTTGCAGTTGCTTAAACATGTAACAGGACTCATAATTGATACTACAAACATCTGTTTTATTAAACGGTCGATTCTTATTTGTGCGAATTCATTTGGAGAAAAATATATCAAAATGAGAGGTAATTTGAAATTTTTTTGCGTTGTATTAAAAATGTCATAGCTTTAGAAAAGGGAATAATATTGTATTTATGTTAGATCACATTTAATAAATTCATACTTATAACTTTAAATTCCATTCTTTTCTAGGTTAGGTTTACTTTCTAGTCACATGTTTAACCAACTCTTCATAACTCTTAAATCACTGGCGTGTTTAAAGTAAAAAAGATTCAAAGAAGCCGTTTTCCAGAGAAAGACAATTTTTTTAATTTATCAATAAGTAACTGTTAATAGATAAAATAACTGGCGGGTCTAATCTAAACAAGACCCGGGAAGAGATATCACATGATCGCCTCCAATAGTAGGTTTCTCTTTTTGATTTTTGATTGACTCTCTTTAATGGCCCAACATTCGGCTGAATAGAGTGTAACATTTTCCAAGAACGATTTGTAAATTTTGTTTTTTAGGACACCGCCCTACTCTATAAAAACTTTCTGAACTAAAATTAAAAGTAAAAATTAAATTGAAACAATCTATGATTTTCTCGTTGTAATTTTAAAGTCGGTGAGTTATAGTTTCATGTAGGAGTGCCCAAAAGGCGGTTTCATGGAGCATGTTGCGGCATCAAAATTTTTGAGGGTGCATATTTTGACGGGTTTTTGAATTTTTCGAGGGGGGGAAATTTCGATAGAGTATTGAATTTTCGGACTAAGGGACAAGGGAAAAAACATGAAACATACCTCAGCAACTGTAATTGTATATGATCTACGATTTTTCTAATTCTATCTTAGCTTGCCTCTGTTTTTAAGAAAAGGTGAGCAATAAAATATTTTGGGAGTGGGTAGGTTCTTGCGCAATCGACCTTTGGGGAGATGGACACCCCTGGTTTCATGATATATCAAATCATGAAATCTGCTCTTCAGCAGTTAAGAGCATTCTTATCTCAACTATTGATGCACTGATAGGTTTTATTACAGCGATAAACATACTCTTAAGGGAAATGTTTTCACTGGAAGAATCATTGCTATCTGCTACAATATCGTTGTTGATAATATTATTTATTTATTTGTCTTCAAATCATTTATACAAAAGAAATATACTTTCACAGACATATACTTTCATTGTTTTTTAATGACTTATCTTCCTTCTTTTATTAATGGTTTCGAAATTGTAGGAGACGCCAACCGCCACATCCGCCGCAACATCCACCCCCGCCCCAACGCCAACCTCCACCCAGGCAGGGGCCGGGACTGTTCAAGCAGATGGCAGCAACAGCTGGGGGTGTGGCCGTAGGATCCGCCGTGGTCAGTATCATTAATTATTAATAATCAATACCGATAAATATCAGATATCATTATTGGCATCAATCAAGTTTATCATTAAGGAAAGTTGTTTTATATTATTTATCTGTATCTCAGTTGTGTGCATGCGCTTATGATTATTACAGTCAACCCAAATAGTTCAATATCAGTCCGGTACAAAGACAGATTTCCACACTTGCGAGCAGAGGCAGCAGCGTTCTCTAAGTGTGGTAATCAGAAGCGTAAGTGGTGTAAACCACCCTAGGTTTTAAAGTCCAACATGTATACACCTATACTAAGGGGTACGAGGCACCGGCTGGGACCATACCTCACCCGAAGGTCTTAACCAGTCCCAACTTAGCCCCACCTTTAAAGTCCAACAGGCTACCAACGAAGAACAATCAAAATGCATATAGGATAAACAAAAAATCACCTTTACCTCTATTTTTTGTCGATTTAGAACCTTTGCCATGAGTTGATAAAATATGAAATTAAAAGAATGCATTACGCGTATTCTCTGCATTGGAGCTTATGAACTGTATGGGAGTCTTTCTCGACGTTGAACAGGCGTTTGATAGAGTTTGGCAGCCTGGACTGCTGTACAAACTCCGAAAATTCCTACCATCTACATACTTTCTCATTATAAGTTCCTACCTTACTGATAGATACTTTAAAGTGAATCACAACAATGTCTATACATCCCGCTTTTCCCAGTCTGCAGGTGTTCCTCAAGGTAGTATCCTAGTTCCTATCTTTTACTCAGTTTATACAGCTGACATCCCAACCCATCCCAACACTGTCATCACCACATATGCTGATGACACATGTATCCTATCAGTTAATAACGACCCATCTATTGCATCCCAAACCCTTCAATCCCACATCATAAACCTTGTAGAATGGTGTCAGAACTGGAGAATTAAAATAAATTCCAATAAATCCCATCAAATTACCTTCACCCTTCGTCGTAAACCAATGACTTCCTGTCCTTCAGTATCCTTTAACAACATCTCACTTATTCTTGTTGAACAAATCCGTTACCTAGGACTCCATCTGGACAAACGTCTAACTTGGAATCCTCATACCAGACTGAAACGACAAGAAACAGCTCGACGTTTCCGACTACTTCAACACTTACTAGACAAACGCTATAACCTTCCAATTAACTATAAAAGACTAATTTACATGACTATAATAAGGCCTATTTGGACTTACGAAGTTGAGCTATGGGGCTCCACCAAACCTTCAAATTCCTCTCGCATCGAATCCTTACAATCCAAAATCCTTCGTAAAATCCTCAATGGTTCTTACTTTGTTGTAAATAAAATCATCCATAATGACCTTAATGTTCCCTATTTATCAGATTTGGCCCAATCCAGATATCTGTCCTTCCATAATAAACTTCATAACCATCCCAACCCTCTTGTTTCTGACCTTGCTTCCTATTCAATTCCTGATAATCCTCCGAGGCGTCTGAAAAGAAGATGGCCACCTGATCTCCTAATATAGACATATTATTAGAGTGCTACCAATGGGTAGTTCCTCAACATGTGTTTCATGTCTTTATATCCATGTGCGAATTTACCAGATGTATTTTTTGTATACAGTTGTAAATATCATATAAATAAAAAAAAAATGATTGTCCGTGGCTTTTTTTTAGATTCGGAATAAAAGTCAGTGGTCACAGAGGATCATCCTCCTATATCGACCTTACCTTCATTAGCGGTCGAAAAACCTGTTTCCTTATAGACTGTATCGCCGGATGTGACGATTTTAACGGAACTTGGCTAAAGTATTCTCCTTGAAGCCCTTTAAATTAATGTTGAAAACTTTGAGAAAAAATCATTAGTTAAATTGATTTTTAAAATTTCATTCAATGTCCTTTTGCTAGCATTAAAGAAATAATAATAATAATAATAATAATAAGGCTTAGCGAACCCGAAGGTTCGATGCCGACACCACCAATCGCTTTTTACACACCTTCCTCCACCATTCGCCGTCCAAACCCAGTCCCTTCAGATCGGCTTTAATGCAATCTTCCCCACCTTCGCTTCGGTCTACCCCTCGGACGCTTACCATTCGGCACAGCAAATATTAACCTTTTAGGAATTCTCTCGTTACTAAGCCCAACAACTTTACAAGCCCATTTGATTCGCCGCGATGAAATTACCTCAATTATATTACCCGGATACAGCTCACGCAATTCGGCGTTGTGTAACCGTCTGAACTCTCCGGTTAACTCATCCTTCTTCGGTCCGAATATTCTACGCAATACTTTATTTTCAAAAACCTTAAGACGCTGCTCATCCCTTAATGTAAGCGGCCAAGTTTCGCATCCATAAAGAACTGTAGGCAAGATAATTGTTTTATAGATTCCAATTTTTAAGTTTCGGGACAAGAGGCGCGAACTAAGTAGTTTTGTCACAGATAAATAACAAGCATTCCCCGCCTTCAGTCTAACCTTAATCTCTTCTTCAATTTCGTTTTTTCTAGTTATCGTAGAACCTAGATACCTAAATTTATCTACGTGTTCAAACATATTACCATCTATATCGATATCACCCTTTTTGTGAATCGGAATAAGAATAGATTCTTTCCATTCTTCAGGTAATTTCTCGTTCACCCAGATCTTTTTAACCAACCGATGTATTTTAGAAACTCCAGCTTCCCCGCATGCCTTAATTAGTTCAGTAGGAATATTATCGATTCCCGCTGCTTTATATGATTTTAATTTTCCGATAGCTACTTCAACTTCCTCTTTACTTGGTCCTTCTATTAACGGTTCAGCACTCTGGTACTCAGAAGGAGGACACAGATCATAATTTCCCGTATTTAAAATATTGTCAAAGTGGTCCTTAAACTTATTCAATATGTCAACCGGATCGGTCAGAATATTGTTATTATCATCCCTAATTCCAGACGTTACGGGCCCTACATATTTACGTGATCTGTTTATACCTTTGTACATGTCTCTTACGTTATTTTCGATTCTATTAGTTTCTATTTCAATTATTTTATTTTTAAGATACTCCCTTTTTTTATTTTTGAGCAATTTTGTCGTTTCGTTCTTTGAGGTTCGGAAGTATTCCAGATTATCTTCGCTAGGATTATTTAGAGCTTTTAATTTAGCGGCTTTTAATTTAGGGGTCCACCAGACTTGCTGGAGGGTGTGACGTAGGATTGAACGCCCTACTCACATATCTTTAGTTCACCAAACACCACAAAAAGCATTAAAGAAACAATTAAATAAATCGCCAAAAAAAAATTGAAGAAAAATTGTTTATGTGAATAAGTAGTTATTTAAGAACAGCAAAAAGAAATCAAGAAAGAATTTTTAATTGTTTAAAAATGTTTTTGTATTCACAGTAAAATAGCCGTATTTCAGATACGAGTGAACAATAATTAGTCATCAATTTTCTGTATCAATTGTGAAGACAAACATTGATAAACTCACAATGACGCATTCTGATAGATGCCCCAATTTGTTTATATATTTTTTTTTTATCCTCGTTTCTTATTAACTGAGAAACATATCGCTTGTGATAAGCAAAATTTAGAAAATAGAAATTGTAAAAACTTGACGTAACTCATTCAAAGTAGATTTTGCCACTAACCAAGCTGAAGTTCCTGACAAACACACAGAGTCGTTAAATACCTTATTTGCCAGTAATTTGCTAATGCGATTTCATCAGACAGGCTCATTAATCAGGCGATTCATTGTCATACGAAATTCAAAGTGGACTTATAGTGTTATTTCTTAGCCCCAAGACGAATTGTGGAATACTTTGATTTTTTTTGGAATGCTCAGAAAGGGGTTGTATGGAGCAAGTAGCGGCTTCAAAATTTTTGAGTGGCGAGAGTACATTTTTACGAGATTGTGAATTTTTGGAAGGAACTATATTTTTGAATAGCTTAAATTTTGAGGAATGTTAAAACCAAGGAGAAAGGGAAAAACGTGGAAGTGACCCAACAAATATAATCATATTTCATCTATAATTTTTTTTTATTTTACTTTCGCTTGCTCAGTATTTAAGAAGAGAAGAGCAATACAATTTCTTGGGAGGAGGAGATGCAACATCGACCTCGGTGGGGATGAGCTCTCTTGGATTTCGTAATATAATTTAATTGATATTTTATTTTTATTTATTTATTAAAATTAATAACTGTATTCATACAAAACAACAAATGCCGAGAAATACAATCTAAAGCAAGTCTGGTGAATGAACTACCGATTGACTGTAACTAATACAGAATTGAAAACTCACATATATCTTCGAAGAAATCTTGAATTTCGAATTATGGTGTGGTCTGGGAAAATAAATGATATAGCAAGTAAAATTATGTCTTCCTTTTTTTTATTTTTGTTCTTCTTTTAGTACTACGTTGAGGTTTATGCACACTGAACGCGATTCTCTCTGGCTCGCTGCAATAGATGGCTTTTTATGAGACGGATAAAGTAGTACTTATATTCCATGGTACCGACTCCTTTTCATCCAATTATTAATTAACATGCACCTAAAAGTTCTTGAATAGCTTCAACTCATCTTAACCGACAACATTTTTATTTACGAAAGTTCTCGGAGGTGGGACGTTTTCAATCTGGAGATCGGCAAACTTTGTCTATTTAATTAGGTGTTAAAAACACATGAACAACCATTTGCTTTCCACTTGAATCGTATGATAATGTATTCACAAAATCGAGAATAAAGGTGACTTATAACAATATTGTACCGTTTGGCTTGACTTCCATCCCAATATGTCAAAATAACGAGGTTATATAGGCCAAACGACCCAATGTTTTTGAAGGCCACTTTTTTTTCTTGATTTTTACAATTCAAGTGTAAAACAAATGGGTATTTGTTATATTTAATAATTAATTAAATTAACTGATCTAATGAGAAAACGTCTCATTTCTAAGTATTTTCGTAGATGAAAAAATTGTAGGTTAGGATAAAACGAGATTTTAGGTAAATAAATTGATAAAAAGGGGATTATTTCTGTAAAACGGACTATTAGTGACATCCGAGCATATAGATCGTAGTTTATCGCGACAGATCGCTTTCTGTTTTCCAAAGACTTTAGTACAATTAGCATAGGCTCCGCCCATCATTCATTGTTCTTTCTTCTCATTCCCACAGGTAAAGGCTTAACTGTCAATTGCTCATGAAAATTTAATTAAAGCTCTGTGTCAGATTTCGGAGTATAGAAACCATAGCGTACTAATGTCACAGAAATAACTAATATGATTGGAATGTTAGTTGAGGTTGCAGTAAAAGATTTTTTTTTTAAATTCATTGATTTGATGTTTCATTATCAGCTCATCGTCAGTACTATTCTGTATTCATGGCCCTCTTGATTTATATTATTTATTCTGAGCTTGTTATGTCATCGTCTTACAACAATTACGATAGTTAATTGTAAATCCCTGATACATCTATATTACTTTTCTTTTTTTCTTTTCTTTTTTATTCATGATATTTACCACTGTATTATAAAAAAAAAACTAGTAAGTGTGCTCTCAGGAATATAATAACATGAAAAAGCTTGTTGAGAAACTACCCACTGGTAGCACTCAAATAATAAATTTACACAAGAAGATCACGTGGATTTATTCTGAAAATGCAAGATCGCACTGCGTAACATGTACTCTAGAAAAATTAACGAATTGGGGTGTGAGTTACTGCCTCATCCACCATTCTCGCTCGACGTTGCACCATCGGATCTCCATTTTTTTCGGATCGTTTCAACACTTTCTAAATGGAAAAAGATTTACAAATTCGCATGAGGTACAAAATGCCATGACTACATATTTTCTCAAAAACCAATTGATTTTTATCGATCCTACATCGGAAATATTCACACTAGATGACAAAAGATTTCTAATAATGAGGGCGATTCCATCAAATCTCGTGTGAAATTTATGAGTTTGAATTTTTTTTTTTTATTTCTTTATGACATTTACAACTGTATTACATAAATACATCAAGTAAATTTGGAAATAATTGATATAATGACATGAATACACTTGCTGAGTAACTACCCAATGGTAGCACTCTAATGATTTGACTACATTAGGAGATCACGGGGCCATCTTCTTTTCAGACGCCTCGGAGGGTTATCAGGAATTGAAGAGGAAGCAAGGTTAGAAACGAGAGGGTTGGGATGATTCTGAAGTTTATTATGGAAGGATAGGTATCTGGATTGGGCCAGATCTGAAACATAAGGAACATTAAGATCTTTATGGATAATTTTATTAGTGACAAAGTAAGCAGCATTGAGGATTTTACGAAGGATTTTGGATTGTAAGGATTGGATGCGAGAGGAATTCGATGGTTTAGTGGAACCCCATAGCTCAACTCCGTAAGTCCAAATAGGCCTTATTATAGTCATGTAAATTAGTCTTTTATAGTTAATTGGAAGGTTATAGCGTTTGTCTAGTAAGTGTTGAAGTAGTCGGAAACGTCGAGCGGTTTCTTGTCGTTTCAGTCTAGTATGAGGATTCCAAGTTAGTCGTTTGTCCAGGTGGAGTCCTAGGTATCGGATTTGCTCAACAGGGATAAGTGGAGTATTGTTAAAGGAAACTGTAGGACAGGAAGTCGTTGGCTTACGACGAAGGGTAAAGGTAATTTGGTGGGATTTATTGGAGTTTATTTTAATTCTCCAGTTTTGACACCATTCTTCTAGATTTATGATGTGTGATGGAAGCATTTGGGATGCAATTGCTAGGTCATTGTTTACTGATAGGATACATGTGTCATCGGCATATGTGGTGATGACAGTGTTGGGACAGGTAGGGATGTCAGCTGTATAAACTGTATAGAGGATAGGACCTAGGATACTACCTTGAGGAACACCAGCGGACTGGGAAAAAAGGGATGAATAGGCGTTATTGTGGTTGTTTGAATTTAAAGTAAGAAAACGGCATTACTTTCTGTTCCCCCTTATATATAGTCTACAGTGAACATATGTAGTCTACACTGAGACCTTAGTGTAAATTTAATATAAAATATTAACAAAATATATTTTTAAACTTATACCATTCTTTATGATTGATAATAAATAAAGATCAATGGCGGGCAATGAGCTTATATTGACTAATTAGAGAACACCATCCGCTGTTGCAGGGGCACGCAGTGGGCGCCGGGATAACAGGGATGTTCTCTGGACGCGGGCAGGAGGTGCAAGCGGCAAGGGAGCAGTACGGTGCCACGGAGCCCACCGGCCCCTGCGCCTACGAAATAAAGCAGTTCCTCAAGTGCGCGGAGACCCAGGAAGACATTTCCGTCTGCGCCGGCTTCAATGAGGCTATAAAAAATTGCAAGCAGCAGCACAGTAAATATTTTACCGCAATATTTTCATTGTTTAATCATGTATGATAAATAGTCAGGACGCAATCATTTTAAGATTTTTTTTGTTACCAACATTTTCCACAATAACCATGTGGGTCATCATCAGGGCTGAAAAAGTTATATAACATCAAAGTTATAATATTAATAAGGTATAACAGACAATAGTCAATAATGAAACATGGGATAGAAAAACATGAATATATAATAAGTTATACAAACTATAAAATAATATATATAATCAATTTATAAGAAATACAATATTTTATATTACTTGCCATGCTACCAGAATTGAAGGTGTCGAAGTACTGACAACTAGATATAAATTATAGCAGTAGATAAGTGGCAGGGACGGGGGAGGATTTTCCAAATGTACTACCTTGATGCCAGTACTTGTACACCTTCAGTGCTAACCACAGGCGGGTCTACGGGGGAGGGCTTCCGGGCTGAAGCCTCCCTCCCCTTCCCAAAATGGTAAAATATAACCATGTTTTACAGAAACGAAAACAATAAAACTATCTCTTAAAGTATTATTATTGCAATTTATAGTGTAATTACAAGTAATAGGCCTTCAAGAACCACTTAAACACCATTTCATATAGGTATTTAATTTCTGTCTTTCTTTTTCAAATTAATTATCGTTATATATATGTATATGAAAAAATAGCTATCGAGCTGAAGTCCTCCCCCTCCAAAATTAAATCCTGGATCCGCTAGTGGTGCTAACCAGGGCTAGCCCACAAGGGAATTTCATAGCACCAACTAAATTTTTGAGAGAGTGGGGGCACATTTTAGGGAGATTTTGAATTTTTGAGGGGGATGTATTTCGACGGTTTTTTTTTTTCTCTGTTCTTACCTACCTCGCCTTTTAGGCAATACGGGATTTTCCCGGGCCGGGAATTTAAAATCCCCTTCGGCACCGGGACGCGAACTCGTACTTTTCAATCTTCTCAAATCTATAATCCGGTTGCCAGGCAATTGAAGTGCACACGCTTTAATCTATTCGGCCACCCCGCCCCCATATCGACGGGTTTATGAAATTTCTGATTGAAAAGTTACAAAACAGAAAACAAAGGGAATATATAGAACAAAGCCCAACAAGTATAATTGTATATGACCTACAGTAATTTTTGGGAACCAAAAAATATATTTCTTGCTTTATGTTGAATATTTAATAGTTGATCGTTTCATTATAAAGGAAGGAGTGGTCCGGGGTGGCGGTCATAAATAGGCCAAATAGTGGCAAAACTATTTTATTAAAAGCCACCGTTTCGACCCGACTTTGCAGATCTTCTTCAAGGAGGTGTGTTTAGCTAGGAGTTTCACTTAAAAACTGAGTTTTGGCTTTTGATAAAATAGTTTTGCCACTATTTAGCCTATTTATGACCGCCACCCCGGACCATCTCCTTCCTTTATTTCATGCTTTAATATGTACAATAAGTGCTTTATTCTTATTTTCTGGTTGAATTTCAACAAAAGACTAGATTTTGTACATATAATTTATTTTCGATACCCGTTCGGGTAAGGAATAATATATATTTAGTATATAGCTATAGTATGTGTTCAATATTGAAACAAATAATACTGACCTAAGGAGTAAAGTAGGTTCGAATATTTTTTTTTTAAGGATAAACAACGTTGAGATTTGTATTTAACACCTCCAAAAATCCTTAAATACGAATTTTCATACTAATCGAAAAATAAAAAGTTTTACTCAAAATTTCTGACAGGCTGGATTTTTCGGAAAATCGCAAAAGTTGTGATAACTTCGACATGGATCCACTTATCCACACGAAAACTTGCATGAATTTGGGGGCGTATAATATACACAAAATGGCACAAACCAGTATCACGCAAATAAAAAAGACTTGCAGATAAAAATAAAAACATTTGGGAAGTTTTTATTTATTTATTCCTTAGAAAAGCGTGAAATATCAAAGTTATCGATATAGTTTTGAAGATCAATAATTTAGCTTTTCTACGGTTGTAGTAACGTCGATTTAAAAATCTGAGGAGTTATGAATATTTTAGTAAACTGCATTAAAAAAAAATGCTCCCATAAAATGACGTCCAAAAATTTATATTTTTTATTTCAAAACAAACTCATATTTAAGAGTTTTAGTAACCCTCAAAACGAATCTGAATAGTTTTTTCATGAAAAAAATTTACTTGGCTTACTTTACTGGAAGCATCCATGTGTTTTTGTAATTTATGATATATAAGAATTCGTTTGATACAATAAGCAACATGTTTTTCTTATTTTATACATAAAAATAAATCGATTGATATATAATAACTTATAAATTCATTCAGAGCAAAGTCAGACAACAGTAACATAAAAAAATAATAAAATACTTCTTTTTTCTTTTTTTTTTTTTTTTTTCCTGGGAAGTTGTCAATTTATTTAGTTACTTGGCAATAATAACTTCCAATTATTAACAATAGGAGGATATTTTTAACGTTACATGTTAACAGTCTAGTTTACGTTTCGGGACCTTTTATTCCCATCTTCAGAACTGCAATTCAATACTCTTGTGGATGCAAGGCTTAATTCTAATAATAAAAATAATAATGTGTTCCATCGTCAATTTTCTAATTTATGTTCTAAAATTTATCATCTAGAGCAACATTCTCCTTTTGACCAATAATTGGGTTTCTGCCATAGTCTTCCATAGTCCAATTATTGGTCAAAAGGAGAATGTTGCTCTAGATGATAAATTTTAGAACATAAATTAGAAAATTGACGATGGAGCACATTATTATTTTTATTATTAGAATTAAGCCTTGCATCCACAAGAGTATTGGAATTGCAGTTCTGAAGATGGGAATAAAAGGTCCCGAAACGTAAACTAGACTGTTAACATGTAACGTTAAAAATATACTCGTATTGTTAATAATTGGAAGTTATTATTACCAAGCAACTAAATAACAAAATAGTATAACATTTTTTTTCTCGGCTCCTAGGACGCATTGGGAAGAACCCTCGGACATGGGTCTAATATTTTTTGACCTAGTATTACCAAAAAAAGTTTCATTGAAATCGGTGACCCCAGGTCTGTAACCTCCCCTTGTTAGTTGAGAAATGGGTTGAGTAAAGTGAAGCAGCTCTCAGGATGTCTGTACACTCCCTTAAAGGGAGTCCCTTTACAGTTTAATATAAACTCTGTATATATAAAGTTGTATAAATAATAACTTACTGTTTTGGAAGGCAGTTGAGGTGTTATCGTATCCAATAGAAGGAAGTAACTTACGCCAGAAAGATAAGCTGTGGTTTTTAAATACAATGCACTTAATTCAGGCATTTGAAATAATAATAGTTTTTATTGCTTCTAGAAAAAGTAAACAACAAATTGAAATAGGAACTGAGTGCAGTGTTTAAAAAAGGACAATAAGAGGAGACAAAAGCTTAGAAATGAAAAAGTCCATATTCTAAGACGTCATGGAAGGCAGCATTATTTCTTTAATTTGTTTCTTTATTGATTGATAATTAGCGTATGATTTTAATATGCAATTTAATTTTGAATGCTTAATTTTAATTGTTTATTTATAATTTTTGAAGTGTAAATTTCTTCAGGCCCGTTTTCCACTTTTTTTGAGGAAAGTGAATTAGATTGTGCCGTCATATCTCCGATTTGTAACGCCCAGGTAAAGTCGGCTGGAGTCGACTAATTTGTTTTTGCATATGGATTAAAATATCTCAAAAACTGAAAATCGGACCTGCATATTTTTATCAATGGAAATGTTCATCATTTTATCTTCTTTGTAGTGAGTATTATTTAAAATTGTATATTAACGCGACGCCGTGTTAGAGAGGCGAAAAGAGAATAAATAATGTCGAAAACCAAATGATAACGTGTTGTATTGAAGACCTGCTTACTGTAAGCGAGGAAAATGTTCAGCATGTCATCCTCCTTATAAAGAGCTATTATTTATAATTTATATTTCCTTCGTGTGGTCTAAAGCACACGCCATTGTTTTTTTACATAATTGAAATTAACAAAGTATGTATTTACATTCCTTTATCATCAAATATGCAAAATAAAATTTGGCAAATTGCCTCTGAGTTCGGAGATCCATGAAAATATTCTGTCAACTGATTATAAAACATATGCTATCAAAATATGCAGCATAAAATCTAAGCATTGCACATATCTAATCACAGCGGATGAGTCCTGATCTTTCAAAATAGTCTCTTCACTGAAAATAAATTTGTGAGAAACAGACACGAAAATTCTTGTGTGATCGTTTTTTCCTATGAGTTTTAATATCGATTTGTAAATTTAATCGCTTAAAAAGATTATTTTGACTTATTGAAGGTTTGTAAAAAGCTCTCTAATAGTTTTTAAAAATATATGCATTTCTCTAAATATGCTCAGTTAAACTTACATATGATTAAATACTTATAGATATAATGTATGTAGAATTACTGTTACATATTCAGTACATAACAGGATATTTTAGTGGTTTAAAATAGGTACAAGCTTCTGTTTCATTTCTTGATTTTTATTTTATCTTATTATAAAAATATGGTTAGATATTATTACTAATATTTTTACATTAATTTTCAGATATTCCATAAAAAGGATGAGCCTCCTCCTCCAATTCAGATGCCAAAAGAATCAATAAAAAAATAAACAAATCTGATAAAATTTCTCATCTTTTCTTTTTTTTATCATCTCATATACGGATCTAGAAATTATGCCATATTTTATAATACCTGAAGCTTTAAAAATACTAAGTATTGGTTTTTAGTATTTTTTGGTTATTATTTTTAGGTTAATTAATTATAATCATTAATTTATTTTATTTTAAATATAGCATGAATGTATAAATTTATTAGATAGGTATTATTACTTATGACTCTCAAAGTGGCAGATTGTTATATGTATACATCAATAAATAAAATACAGACAATTATTTTATTTTTTTTATTATTCCTTCCTCATTACCGAAGGTAGGGAAGCATCGTATTCGTGGGAGTGGTTAAAAAAAATTGTGTGCTCATAATCGAAAATTTCCACTCGCGTTTTACGTTTCAGACATCAAGGGTCAAATTTGGTTTAGTCTCTGTCTGTCTGTAGTCAAATCTATGTAACGGGCATATCACCCACTACCCTCCATCCGATTTTCATGGAATTTGCGGATTGGTGCCAAGATCGTCCCATATCAATTTTATCAAATTCCTTCTATCACTTCTGCTTACGCACGCGCAAACGTAGTTTTTTAGATATGCCAATATTTCAGAAACGGCCCATTAGAATTGAGTCAAAGTTGGATAAAGGTAGGTATTAGTGAAAAAATAATGAAATGTCAATTTTATTGAATCTGTTTACTTTTTTTCTTATATATGAGCAAACTTGTTTTCTTCAATACGTCTATATCTCTAAAACCGCACGTTCGCTTTGGCTCGAATTGCAGGTAAGTTAGGGATTAGTAAACAGATAATCAAGTATATATAAATTTTATCAAATTCTATCCACTGCTTAAAAAAAAAATACTTCTGCTTTCAGATCAGGAAATGTGTTATTTGACACGCCTATTGATTTGAACCAAATTTGGAGGATATTTGGAGAATAGTACAGCAATTTTATTCTGAGTTTGTAAAAAAAAAATCTTATTTGTGATTGTGTTTATTTCTATTGAAGTTCAACCTGCTCGTCGTGGTCGCCATTTCTTCATTCAATATCAAAGTATTTTTATATTCCAGCTTAATTAGTTTTGTTCTGACTGAGAAAAAGTATTGGTCTCGTTAACTTCGAATTTTCGTTCCATCCATTTTACGACTGAAAAAATACCTAAATTAAATATATATCACTACTGTTAGTGCAAAAGGTCGTATGTAAAAATTGCCAACTATTATTCTATTTGTGCTAAAGGGCCCATTTCGTAGTTTGCAACTGATATAAACAGTTTGCAACGATGGAAAATAACACAGGGCAATAAAATATGAAATTATAGTAATAAATCGTAAAGAAAAATTAGTTTGTATGCATTCCTGTAAAACATTCAATTTTCACGTATAACCTTTGCACTCACAGTATTAATATACATGTTCGGTATGCACTGGAATTTTTTTTTTTAATCACGAATCACCAAATATGCAACCTGCAAATGGGGAACTCTTTCGCATTTTAGCATTTCGAACGAAACCCCCCATATATGTTGCGGGAATACTGAATTTCCGAAAACGACATTTTCTAGAGATTTTATTCACATAAGAAAAATTTTAGATCTTTTAATATAGATATATTTTAGCCAATAAAAACGGTGAGGAAGCTATACTGACCTTTCTTGGCAGTTTTTTTTGTAAATAGTCTGTAAAAAAAAAAACTTCTTTTTTCATAGCACTCAACATTGTCTAAATTTATATCAGTAATTTAGAAGAAATCGATTTGATTATCAATTTTTTCACAAATTTGGAACAAGTTAAACAACTTTATGTATTTATATTTGTTTCATGGATCTTTCTAAAATATTTACAATATTAATTAATAATATGGTCAAAACGGTACCAATTGCAGCCAACAAATCATAAATACCATCAAAATAACAAAAGTCCTATTTATTATATCACCGGTTGATTATGGATTGTACGACTATTAGTTATTAAACTGTTATTTTAAAGGTTTATTAAAACGTTATTAAGAAATTTGCATTGTCTGTCATAGACAGGAAAAGTTGTCACACTAATTGTAAGTGGATTCTACTAGAATATTGCAAAGAGAAAATTTATCAGATTATTCACTATTTTAATTTTCTAAAAGATTACATGATGATTTTTCGGAATAAACGGACGATAGATACCTAAATATTTAAATATATTATCAGACCTAGAGTTATTAAACTACAGTAACTATATTTAAGGTCATAAACGTATCTATGAAATATTTTTATATTTCACTTCTTCTTTCACGCAAGTACAATGAAATAGTAGTGGATACTGTTGGAATATCACAAAGTGAAGATTCATCAACTTATTCACTAATTTAATTTTCTAAAAAGTTACATGACAATTTTTCGGAATAAACGTTTATACCTAATTATTTAAATATAATATCAGATCTATAATCACTAAACTACAGTAAATGTATTTAAGGTTATAAACATATGCTTTTACTTCTTCTTTCACACAAGTACAATGAAACATTTTTTTTAACAATGCCATTAACTTAATTAGGTGGATTTTAAATATTAAGATTCTATTAAGATAAAAATATTTTTTAAAGTTTACATTTTGTGAGTAAATTTCATTTAATTTCCTTGAAAACATGTGATTTACTTTAAATATTATCAGTTTTCAAAACTTATTATTTATAATTTTTTAGCCGCTCTCCGTTACCTTCTACAACTTTCTATATTAGATATTGATTTTTTTTTCTAAAATTCTTCGCTTTCTAACGATTTATTATAAGTACCTTCTGATTTGTCTTTCCGAAGATTTATTTATTTTCGACCTGTATAAGCATATTTATCTTTTTCTCCTTTCCTCAATCATAAAATTCTTTCAAAAGGTATATTTAGTATTTTTTCGCTGAATATTTTACATAGCTGCTAATTATTTCACAATGGTTTATTATTTCCAAACAATTATACATCTAAAGTAACATTACCTTCCTAGTTACAAAGAAAAGTAAATAAAAGGTGATTCCAATTAATTGACTAAACTTTTTTTTATAATCATTATTAATATGCTAAAAAAATTAGCATTACCTAAGTAACATATTCAAAATTCAAAAACCAGAACAAAGGATATAACTTTTGCAGCAAAACATATTGAAAAAATAGAGATCATACCTTTTCTACTAATTGTCCGATTTTAACGATTTTTTTTGTTTTTTGTTTTTTAGGCAATTCCGTTTTTTTGTTTTTTTTTAAATATATAATATATCTCTACTAATAGTGTTTGATTTCGATGAAACTTTCATTTTTTATGAAATGGAAATACATCTGAAACATCTTATCACAATATCTCGAAAAAAAGTGTATACTTTTTGAGTTATCCGGAATTTAATTTTACCATCCTCGTAACTTTTTTTCTAGCTTCTTTTCGTTGAAGTATGTTATATAGATGAATTTAAAGGGTGTCCTATAGCAACTCAGGTTTTTCTTTTCTTTTTTTTTTTTCTCCTTTATTAAGTTATCAAAGTCTTTCAAAAGTTATATTTAGCATTTTTTCGTAACTGTGAATAATGTGAAATGATTAACTTTTTAATATAAACCATATTAAAGGTACTTTAGAGGAAGACATAAATAAACATTGGGCATTTAAGCCCTGTAAAGTGACATCAATGGGGATAAGACCTAATTGATATTAAAGACCACTTAATTATATAATAATACACCGAGTTTAATCAAAATCGTTAAAGCCGTTTTTGAGGAAATTGTGAAAATATGTTTCAGGGTTAATATAAAGTGGCACTTCCGGTTAGCCGATTTTAAGGAAAAGCTTGCTGCCACATCTAAGGCATATACCTATCTTAAATACGTGATATCAGTTTCATAGGACTTTTCGTTTTCGAGCTAGAGTGTTCACATACACACAGACGCACAGACCATTTTTCGGGACTTGGTTATTTGGATTCAGGGTACCCCAAAACGTGTATCTCCGTTGAAAACTCAGATTCAAAAATTTTCTCGATCGCAATACTTACCTTTACTATATATTACATATATACGTAAGTAAAAGTAAAAAATAAAAACGAAGAAGGAATAATCGGTTTAGGTGCGTTGGATACAGCTGTTATAACTTACGTAAGTGACGATATTTACTTTGGACAAACAGAAAAATATAAACAGATTGATTCAAACAAATTAAATAGATGGAATAGTTTATCTTTAGATTAATCCTACTTATCCGATAATGTGCTTTCTCCAAACACCATTCATTATCATTTTATTTAAATACATTTGTTTCAGAATGGCGGAAGCGCAGTGATTTTTTCAGATTTAATTTCTTTCAAATAGATGATGACCTTTTTTTGGGTGATAGTTTATTTCAAAATGTTGAAATACTAACAATGAATCTGTATTCGTGCAAGAGGTTAATAAAAGTGATGTATTCAGATTTTTTTGTTTTTTTTTTTGTAAATATTTCAAATTTTAAAAGTAACTGATTTTCCGAGGATTTCTCGAATTGAAGCGAACGGTTGTAGAAAATATCTTCCTAACTATACCCTGATAATAATATTAACTTTGCAAAGCATGAATGGGAACGGATCCCCAAATTGTCTTCACGGAGCAAAAAAAAAAAAAAAAAATCTCTTCATAAGGTTCTGTATTTGATTTATATTACATTATTTTTAAATATTAATAATAAGAAAGCCTATTAGTAATATATATTACTTATAAATATTAATTATAAATAAGTATCTTATATAGTTATATTTTACAGACGGAAACATTTAGTGCTGTATCTCGAGTAATTTTTAATGACTAAATCTAAACTTAAGTTCATTGTTTAGAAAAGTTCCTGCTTGATTAAAATCACAAAACTGTTATAAAATGTTTTACATAGAATTATTCTTGTGAGGATTTCCGTGAATGAAATTTTTTTTTTAATCTATTTATTGAATAATAATACAATCAGCCACTGCTGGAGGGCTAAAGTATTAGGGCTAAGAGTTCTCATTCATACAATATATACACATAATAGAGAAATAAATATAAATATAAAAAGTAAATAAATAATACTGATGAATAAAGTAAATAAA